GATTTTTATGCTGAACTAAACATATTTGGTGCGTGGGTGAACAAACTCAACGGTCCGTGAACTCACATACCTCTTAGTGATTAATCCTTGGCGAAATCTGCAACCAAAATCTCTAGAACTTGAAGAATCTTGACATTTTCTTCTCCTTTCTCCTCTTGAGTTCTTTTCTCTACAACTCTAGCGGGGAACTTTTAGTGCATAGACTGAACAAATACAATTTAGACCCCTACTTAATTACTAAAAATTAAATAACTTAATTGGGTAATGCAAAAGACCAAAATACCCCTTTTCAATTCATGTAATTTTCCTTATCTAGACAACTCAACTTCAAATGGGCATATCTCCTTCATACGAGTTCGAAAATTAGCAAACTCAGTGGCTTTGGAAAGAGAATTTTAAGACCTTTTATTTGATATTGTATTTGCTACCTAATACTTCCTGTACTAAAAGTTCTTGCCATAGAAGTTTGCTCTTTGCATGTGCATGAATATTACCATTTGGAAGAGGTGAAATTTTCACAAACAAAACGAAGAACTTTTAAAATGAAAAGTAAGCTAAACGTAGAAATCTTGCATTCCACAAATTTGATCAAAGTTCAAACTTCAAATCAAGCATAATTTTTCTCAAAATTCTTTCTTATTGATAGAAATCTTAACCTTTTTTTTAGTAGGATACTTTTGAATGACTAAGTACAGTTTTTGTGAAGTATCTTAATAAGTTGTTTAATTTGCTTAATGTTTAAAGTATTTTTGTGATAGACAATTTAAAAGTCACTTTCACCTTAATTCGAATATCCACATTCCTAAATCATCGACATTTACATACATATAATATTTGAAACAAATAGCTTACTGTGATAATCACATACCAAAAACATTTAAATATTTCATGTGCTCTTAATACATCAACAAGGAAAGTATAAAATACCTAAGAAAAAACTATTATAGATCAAAGAGGGCAAGAGTCCTCCAGCCATTTAGCAGTCACTGGATAACAAACTTAGTTTTTTTGTTTCAATTTTTTGAGACAGAAATATGGGGCACTGAGTAATACTACATTTTAGTTACTTGGTGCCTCAACCATTCGAGATGAGAGACCAGCAGCTGCAGTAGCGATAGGAACAACCCTTGTTGAGACACAAGGTTTTGACAAATGAATGAGCCTGAAAACAATAAAACTCATTTTTATGTTCAACATATGATCATTGAAGAAAGTGATAAAATATATTATACCAGAGACAACTAGCCAATTATTACTACGGACAACAAACCAATATAAAGATGCTTACGCTTCAAGATATTCACAGAAGACGATATTCATTAAAGACGATATTCACAAAAGACGATACAGACGTAACAACTTCATTATAATTTGTAGATAAAGCTGGTGCGGTCACAAAAGAATTTTTATTATTATATTTTTTTAAATATATCTTAGATGTTTGACCATAAAGAAATTTCCTTATTTTCTCCACATAAAATCTTCACAAAAAAATTATTTCTTTATTATTATTTGTTATAGTTCTTAAAATATCTCTTCTATATTTAATGGTTTATCTATACGGGGATGAATAACTTCAATTCTTTATTAGAAAAACCTGTCAATCTGTTAAGAATTATTTACTATATTTTTAATCCTAGGTATATAGTATAAGGTGATATTTTTAGGTATATATTATATGTATATTTGAAGTATATTTTAGTCTTGAAATATTAAATTATTTTATTTGTGAATATTTGTTTTAAAAAACACATATGTTCATGCACCCTCAAAATTTAGATTTTCATCCATTGTAATTTATAATTACAGAATTATTAGCTTAAGTGGAGCTAGAAAAATCATTTTATTCTATGGAATATAACTATATTGATTGGTGAAAGTGAAAATAATTTGGAGGATGAAATGACTGAGTCAATATATGTCACAATCGGATCATTCGGTCACCTACTATAACACCCAGATAGGAGAACTCTTACTATCCAATTTAAAACAGGTAATGCGGAAATGAATAACAACAGATTTTTTTAATATAATACAAATTAATAAACATGGAACTCGAATATAAGAATCTTTTTTACAATTAACTAAAAACCCTCCCAAAGAACTAGTCTAAATAGGTACAAGAGCTACTAAGGTAGTAAAATGTATAATGATATAATACACAATTTCCACCATAAGAAAATAGAAGTAGAAGTTGCCGGAGGTTATCATTTCTTCACCTCAACATTATTGAATTCTGCAACTAGACTACTCCAAATGGCATACAAGAGTAGTATCAGTACAAACAACACATATTGTTAGGATCATTAGTCAACCTAAATCAATCACATGATATCATGCACATAATCAAGAACAATAACTTAAAAATGTCATTAGGATCCACACACTTCACCCAAGTCACCCACCTCCTTCTGTTGTCGACTCTACTATATAAGCCTTCCATCATCACATTAAATCATAGTCTAACTCTTATATCACATAGAGATTTCCACCAATACAAGACTACCACTAACTCTGATAATCAATCTATTATTCCCCTCAAGCTCTCATGCCAACAACTTGCCTAACGACATCTAAATTAAATGAGATATAAACATGCAATACAGTTTAGCAAAACAGAAATACATTTATATCTATAAGTATAAAATAGCCCACACCTCCAAGGATCACTAAAATTTATTTTACGATATTTAGTATCTCATCCTTGTCTACACAAGAGCCACCCTAACATCTAAATACGCCAACCGATCCCTCATGACAAGTATGTAAAAATATGAATTGTGATAAATTTGGTCGACACACAGTACCAACATGTAACAATCATGTCATGAAAAAGTAAGCTCAAATCTCTCATCGAACCTAATTCACAAAAAAATGTTAATGCACATGTGTGCATCCTATCCAATCATTAGTATATCAACATGGTACCTCGTAACACCCACAAGTTCTAAGTAATTTTAGTGCGAGATTAATGAAATACCAGAAGAAATAGTCCTAGGTCGCCCGTTTTTCTCTCCAAGAACGAAGTTTGCAGAAAAATAACATTTAGCAGCTCCGCCATAGAGGAAATAATCCCACCGAGGCGGGTGCAAGGAGGGTTGCACGACACAGAGACTCAAAATATATGTTCCAAGTCTCCATCTTACAACACACCCTCAAACATTGACGTTGTAAAACCATCATTTCACACGCTAAGATCAATTAAGGAGTTCGACCCGCCTGAATTCGATTTTGTAAAGTCGTACATGCTCCTGATCATCTTGAATATCACTCAAATCATTAAATTCATAAAAAAAAATTCTCCATCCATTACCAAATTATCATAGACCTCACCTGACTTAGATTCCGTCCAAGTCTAGCCTATCCTGGAAAAATTTCCAAGTTACTACTCAAAAGCTTTTTTGCCCAAATTCTTCCATATTGGTTTATTTATAATGACGGGAATATGTCGTCACAATAACTCATTTTATAAATAATATTGGTTAACAACATATGTTTATTGATTAATACATTTTTTAAGATAATATATCTTAAATATTTAACTTAATTTTATTTATAAAGTTTCTTATTTGTCTAATATAAAATTTTAGTATTTAAATATTATTTTTAATAATTAATATAATATTATGATCGCATTGTACATTCAAAAAATACATATGTAATTATAATGTAACAAACAAACATGCAAGTGTTACTCTAATTACTCCATCCGTCCAATAATAGTTGTCCACTATATTATGTTCAACAATATTTGTCCAGCTTAGAAAATCAAGACACAAATTACAGTTTGTGTCTATTTTATTTTTACTATTAAATAATTTTTATCATCTAGCACATTTCTCAAAGTATTAGATTTAATAAAGTCAAATAATAATAATATAATATTACACATGTTATTCTTTGTTTCTTAATAGTTATACCAAATAAATATTGGATAATTATTGTTGGACAGATAAGATAACTTTGCAACAAACCTTTATAATTAAGTGACTTTAGAAGTAAAAATTAAAGTTGAGTGAGTTTGAAAGTAAAACACGCATTGTGATATTAATTGTTATTTTTTGGTGACCAACTTTCACATACATCATATTTATATGTTATACCTATAGTTTGCATAATTGTGTTTCATAACAAACTTTATATTTGTTATAACTATTAATATGTATATTTCGCTATACATATACAAAAGAAAGAATTGTATAATTTATTTTGGTATTCATATACAACAGAAATAATTGTATAATCTGTTTCAGTATATATAAAAGAATCAATTGTATAATCTGTATTTGTATAAAGCGAGAAAAGAGAAAAAGACTAGAAAACTGGGGAGGAGAAATCATTAGTGTATTTGATGAAAATATATGTATTTGTATATGCAATTTTCTTTCACTTTATACAAACACGATGTATACATTTATGTTTGTATAAAAGCGAGAGAGTCGAGTGAGAGACTGGCGAGAAACCTAGGGAGAGATACAAATGACAACAGTTTGTTACAGGTCACAATTAAATCAAATTGTGGTTATCACATTTAATTTGAATTAATAAAGAAAAATTACATAAATTGATACATTTTAATAAATAATTACTGATTTTAGCAACACTTTTTATTTATTACCATTTATAGCAATCCTATGTTAAATCTGTCATATGTATTAAAAGTGAATTATGTAAGCAATATATATGAATTATAATTGTTTTTAAATATATTATGTTTGTTTGGTAAAAATTTGACACATTGTATTATAAGTGAATTAAAATGTGTGATAAATGAATTATTTATCATTAAAATTTGTATTATATATGAAAAAAATTGTTCTTTGTAATATGAATTAAACTTGTATTATAAATAAATTAAAAGTGATCAAGTGAAAAAGAAATATTATTGGTATAAATGATAAATATTTTGTGATTATAGTATATTTATGTAAGTTTCCCAATTAATAATTTGTTATAATATAGTTTTTTCTTTTTGGCTTATAAATTCAACAAAACTTAAAAAGACAAATTTGTTAGAAAAAAATTAAAAGAAGTCTGTTTATTCTTTCTCTTCACATACCGCCGCCGTCCTCCGCCGTTCTCCGCCTCTGTATGTTTTTTCTTGATAATTGGTATACCAGTTGATAATGATGTTAAAGTTTTGGTTAAAGTTCCCATCTTTCATTGACTTTATGATGAATGAATGAATGTGCATATAGAACATACAAATAATTGGGATTTCACTTTATATGCTTTTGTTTTGTTGTTCTGAGCTACTTTAGTTTTCCAGCTTGCTGGGCATAAATTATGGATGACTCAACAGTTGGGCTTCTAAATTGATTTGCATTTTTTCTCTTCGACAAACTGATTGGTTACTTTCATTTTTAGGTGTTCTCTTCTTGAGGAGTGAGATCTTTTTATTCTGTTCACCTATGTTGTTCTGACTCTTAAAAATGTCAATGGGTGGATGTTGGATTCTCCAAACCTAGTGTATTTTTGGAGAATCCGACAGCGGTGCAACATCCAAAATGAAGAGTCTGCACAACTTAGGTTTCTCTTTGAAGGAAACTTTTTGTATATCTCTGTTGAAAGTTTGGTTTTTCTTTTATGAGGGTCTTTGTTATGCATTTGAATCGGATTGCTTAGAAAATATATGGAGTTGGAATATGTGATCAAGAAAGTGTTTTTAGTGTAGTACAATAACAAGATTCATAAATTTCTATGGAAGGAAATGGCGTTGGGTTTAATTAGGATCCTAGATACAGTAAAACGTGATTTTTCGAATGAGCCAAAGATTGGGAAGTAGGATGCCCATACATCATGGTGAACCAGTAGAGAGCAGAGAGCTTATTATAGAACTCCTTCCTTTACCCCGAAATTTTCTTATCACAGTTTTTAGTTTGACGTCTACCAAACAATGATATTGATTGTGCCCTTTTATGCAAGAGGAGAAGTTGGCTAAGGCAATGGAAGAAAACAAGAGGAAGAAGAAGAGAGCTCATGTGCTAACTAGAAGAAGAGATGAACAACATCTCTCTAATTATAAAGGTAATCGACATATAAAAGTCAATTTGAATTTTACTATGATTATCAAATTGCTGCAATCTTTTTTTGGTTTTTGATTAGTTTTGATGAATCAGATAATGTGGATGGAGAAAAAGAGAATAAATCTGCAAAGAGGAAGAAAAGGAAAGATGTCAGACTTGATGAAACTGAAAGTTTGGAAATTGATCAATCTAATGAAAGAGAGGATGCACTTGGTCAAGAAAATAATGTATCCGCTATGAAAAGGAAATCCAGAAAGAAGAAGCAAAAAAGTGAGAAGAAAGTACAGAGGAATGAGACTGTTGATCATTATGTTGAGGCTAACAATGATTCAGATCAGAAAAGTGGTACGGAGAGATTTTCTAGTGTCGCAGTTGTTTCTCTCTCTCTCTCTCTCTCTCTCGTATTTCCTTTTACTGTAAGTTTAAAAGAGCTAAGAGTTCAGGAAGACACCTCTTAAAGTGACATCTCCATTTTTGTGCAGAGACAAAGGAGAAAAGGAATTAATTTTACTGGACTGATTTTTCTAACTGTTAAACAGACATGATATTGTCAGTGCCATATTGCTTACCCCTAGGAAAGCCAAATGATGTTGTCGAAATTGCAGAGAAGGATCATTCACTCACAATAACGCCGGACAACCTGGTGGAAAAGAGAGGACAAGCAGGAGAGGAAGAGATTGATGAACTATCTTCTGGCGATGAGGATTGCTCGAAAGGAATGAGAAGTAAGAACCTATATATACCTGAAAAATTGCCACTTACCTGTTGCTTGGCTCCAGTTCTACATTTGAGATTGGAAGTTGGATTTTCCTTCTCAATTATCTCAAGGAGAAACTCTAATCATTTGTTGCAGTTGCGAAGTTATTCTGCTGTTGTATATTTTTTCAGGGAAATGTTGATATGGCCACTTACTCCAGTAATGTTATATTGTTTGCTTCCTTATTAAGAAGAGATCTCCTTTATTGCAGAGTGGGTACTCGATTATGACCAGAGTAGGCCTGGGTTGAAGGTGTTGCAAGAAAGAATTGATGAGTTTATTACTTCTTATGAGGCAAAAAAGGAACAGGTACATCATTTCTCCAGAATGTTCTTTTGCTGTTAATGATTTTGTTGAAGTACTTGGAGGAATGCTAGGATGTTTATGAGCTCTATTATGTCTAGAGCTGGTTAATGCTTCAGTTTCTAGAAAGAAAATGGACAACTTTTGCAGAATTTTGCTCATATCATGAATAAAGTTTCATAGTAATCTGGAAATGTTTCGACTTACAGAGAATGATGCATTATGTAAAAAATGTTGATGCCCTGAACCAATCATGTTCTATACATCTGATGGTTGGATTTTATTTTTATTATATGTGGTTAACATGTATGTTTTCTTGTTTGATGAACTGGAGAGTAGTCTCTTCTTATTTTTTCTTTCATATCTGGCTTATTCTGTTCATACAGGAAAGGAAAGAAAAAGAAGCCCTTGCTGCAGAAGATGGCTGGACTGTTGTCGTACATCACAAAGGAAGGAAAAAGACAACTGATTCTGAAACTGGAATTGCAGTTGGTTCTGTTTCCCAAGCTGCAGTCATGGATAATATGGACAAAAAGAAAAATAAAGATGTGGGTTTAGATTTCTACCGGTTTCAGAAAAGAGAAGCTAAGAGAAATGGTATGCTCATTGTATTTTTTATTTTCTTTATACTCCCTTGCTCCATTTTCATCTACTTCCTATCCTTGGTCACTTTTTTCATTCAAGGGGAAGAGCAAGATTCTCAATGTTACATCTCATTAAAAAACTTATGGGTGAACAAGTATACCGTTATTTCTTATCTTACCTTGCCCCGTTGAAAACTATCTGGGCTGAAGAGGGTTATCCTTTTCAAAGTGTTAATTGGCCTATTATAGTTAGGGTGTGTCTGGTATGAAGGAAAATGTTTTCGACTTCCAAGTAAGTTTCTTAATTATTTTCTCATGTTTGGTGAATAAGCAGAAAATATTGTCCCAAAAACATTTGTATATAATCTAGTCAAAAACTATTGTGGTTGCATGGTCATCTAGAGGTGTGGAGGTGGTTGGGATGGGGGCTATGGGGTTAGGAGTGGGGTGGGGTGTGTTGGAGAGTGTTGGTGTGTAAATACCACGTATGAAACTTATTTTCCCTACTTTCACTAGGGAGGTCATTTTCCTCATTTTTAAGGACTTGTTTTCCTAGAAAAGTGTTCTCCAAAAATTTTGACCAACCAAACATGAGAAAAGTGGAAAACGTTTTCTTCCATTTGAACACAAACTATGTTGTTTATTATTTGATTCTTGGAAGAGAAGTATGGTTTTAGTAATTTGATCTGCATGTGTATTTGCACTGTTTCCACAAATGCCTCATTCTGTATCGTTGAATGAATTGTTTGGTATCTAAATAAGTGAAAAAAGGGAGGTTCATCTTTATCAATATATTGAATGCTTCAAAAGTGCTTGTCATGGCATATGGTCAAGTTTGAGCCTGAGACAACCTCTTGGAGTACATGAATAATTGGGACTCGAAGCCGCCTAAGAAGAACCTTGGATTTAATTTGGTGTCGAAGAGTTATATCTTATATATGCTTGTTCTTGAAATCGTTTCTTTTCAAGGATGAGTGGAATCTGTCTTAATCTTCCGTCAAGGTACTCTTCTTCTCTTACATCCATATTTCTGCGATCTGAAACCTAGTGGTAGATCTGAAAATAGACACAATCTCTCTCCTTTCTCAAGCCCCAACTTACTCTTTTTCCTCCATGCACCCAATAGTCTGAAGTTTCTTGTCCCCTTCTTTGTTTTCCATGTTTTTCTGGTTGACTCTCTTCTAGTTGTCATTGTCTTATCTCCCAAATATTAAAACCTTTTTTTTTCTGGTTGAGAATTGATACTGGGCTGGCAACTTTGTTTTAGGGAAGAAATCATCATCTTTTGTTTTAGGGTTTGAATGAGAAATAATATTTGGATCCATATAAGTGGGAGGAGAACTGAGAATTGACCATTAAACATCTCTCAGTTGCCCTTTTCCCTCTTTCTTTATTTTGTGTTGGCAAAAGATGTTAGATTACTCCTTCAACTCTTGAACTGATATCATACAGAGTTTCTTTTTTATTTCCCTTGCTTTTTCCAGCCAAATGTTAATACGGACTACGTACAAGCTGAAGCTAGTTTGTAATCAAAATTTTAAAAACAAATAGGAGAAACAAGAATAATTTGTGTAGAGAAGCTGCTTAGTTACCAGTTTCAAAAAAAAAAAAAGAAGCTGGTTTTGTACAAAGTAAAATAAAGACCGTCAGAATTAGTACATCCTATTATGTGAATCTGGTTATCAAGTGGTTGATGGGGGTGCGTAGAGGGGGAAGCGCTAAGGTGCATCTTGGTTTACGGTCTGCAGGTAACTATTAGGTCTTTGTTACAAGTCACACGAGTTTGGAAGACAATAGATGTTGGTGTTACTTGAATTATGTGTTAAGTAATTTACTCCCACTTGTATATTTGTGTAAAATTTCCATCAATAATCCATGTTAGCTTAGATTTCTCCTAGAAGTCTCTGCATGGACAGTTCTGTAGCATTCGAGCAGGCCATTCACTTTATGCAATTGATTTCTTCTTGTTTTTCTACTAGCAACTGAATCTCAATATGCTTGCTTGCTTGTTATTACTCTCAGATGACCACTAACATGCTTGTTACATGCAGAGATCATGGTGCTGCAGACCAAATTTGAGCAGGACAAGAAACGGATACAGCAGTTGAGAGCTGCAAGAAAATTTCGACCTTACTAATACTACTTCTTGAAGGGAGTTGTTATAAGCTAGAAAAGAGAGGATCGGAAGGTTTAGGGAAAAAGGGGTTCCAATGAAAACCACATTACCTTAACTTGAGAACATATTCATTTACTATGGTTTTAGTTTCCGAGCTCATCAATTATTTTATCAGGTAACTCCATCCATAAAAAATGCACATGAATTTTGTCATAGAGGCAGGCGACTTTGCGATTAATATGATAGACTGTAGATGTCATCGCATCTATATATGGATATTGAAATATGTATTGATTTATCTACTGAAAGTGCATGGTTTTTTTGTTAATGGTGGAAGCTGTCAAATGCTTGTAAATCTTTTTCTTCCCTTGTATGCTATTTTTTCAGCTAAGCTTGCATTGATTTTAAAGCCCGTTTGGATTGGCTTAAAAAAGTATTTTTTTTAAGGAAAAATTGAAAATGATGAAACTTATTTTTAAAATAAGTAATTATGTGTTTGTATAAATGTGTTGTAGTTGAAAAAAAAAGTTGTTGATGTGTTTGGCTAAATAAGTATTGGTAAACACTTTTTTAAATTAAATTGTTTGAAATACCCTTAAAGCTGTTAACATAATAAAAATTAATTAATTTAAGATTTTTATCCTTAAAAAAAATTAAAACAAAATTAATTTATATTTTACATTTATAAGTAATAATATTTCCTATTATTTACATATTTCTTTATCGTCACAAATTAATAATAATAATAATAATAATAATGATAATAATATGATAATAATAATAATAATATGATGATGATGATGATGATATTAATAATAATAATAATAAAAATATAATAATAATAATAATAAAAACAATATAATATTATTATAATAATTATTATTATAATTAAAAAAATTATTATTATTATTACAACAACAACAAATTACTTTTAATTTTAAAAAAAAACATGTCTCACCTAACTTTTAGCTTTTGACTTAAAATAAGTCACTTTTGACTTTTAATAAGTCACTTTAATAATTATCAAATACTCAAATAAATAAAAAACTGACTCTTCAATTAGTTTAACCAGCTTTTAAGCCCATTCAAACAGACTCTAAGAAATGTTTTCATTCATCTTTCTTTTTGCAGTTCAGGTGTGACATCTAATTTCAATAAAAATAGTCATTATGTTTTAATCAAAGAGATAAATTCAATTCAACTATTAAATAGAAAAGATTAAAATTTGCTATGAGTATTAGATTAACCGCTACCATATTGATAATTCAATCTAACTATTACATAGAAAAGATTAAAATTTGCTATGAGTATTAGATTAACCGGTACTATATTGATAATTCAATCCAACTATTAAATAGAAAAGATTAAAATCTGCTATGAGTATTAGATTAACTGCGACCATATTGGTAATCTGGCGCTAAAACTAAAATGTGTACTCAATATTTGATAAATTAATAGCATTTTATTTTAGGATTAATTACC